CTGCTAGCTTACTCATCATTGGCCCCATAATTTGCATGTGGAGCACTAGGAGGCCGTACTAGAAGGTATAGTTTACCGGGTACCCAGGACTAGTAAGGTAGGATTATTCCATTTAGTCTATTGCCAAACAACGTCACTACCTACAATAGAACGAAATATACAGGGTGTTAAAAAAAAGTGCCACAAAATAAAACGGGGGGTAGTATGGGCCAAAATATGCAGAAAAGTCTTAATAAACATATGTCCGCAAATGAATGGTTTCATAGATACGGAGTGTTTTGTATCATTTTTTGATTATCTTTTTTCATTCTCAAAAACTTGCTTTTCTTATCGGAGTCTACCGATGTTTTTTCATAGATACTATTTGCAGTTATTATTTTGTTGTGGGTGAATAATTTTATAAATTTTCGTTATGCCTGTTTACACTAATATTGAATTAGCTGACATGCATTTTATGTACGGTCGTGCAAATGGCAATGCATTGAAATGGAGGGAGGGCACTTTGAACATCTCATTTAACTCTATGTTGTTATTGATTGTTTATAATTATCATTGTTTTTTTATAATAATAAAAAAATGTTATAAACACAAAATGGTCCGTATCTCCGAAACCGTTAATTTGCGGTCATATATATATTAAGACTTTTCTGCTTATTTTGGGTCATACTATTCACCATTGCATTTTGTGACACTTTTTTTTAACACCCTGTATAATTATTATAGTTGGTTAACTAAGTTAAATATAATTAAACTTACCCATAAGTGAAAGAAGCCCCTGGATTCAATCAAATTTAGCTGTGAGCCAAAAGTGTCGACACTGGCGGTAGTTTTATCTCTCCCTTTTTATCTCTTATAATTTGTATAATATTGTTGCCTTTATAACAGGAGATAGATGGTTATAATTATCCTTTGATTTACACTGTACATATCTATTGAATTGAACGATTGAATTGATTACTAAAAGAATAAACCTAATCAATCAGGAAATATTATTTTATTTACTGTTTATTTACCAAGCCTTTTCTTCCCTGAGATAAAAGGTAGAACCCACGATAGCCGCATTAAGGCGAAACCTTCTGCAGCTAACAATGTATCTTCACTGCTATTGGTCCGATTTAAGCGGGAAAAACGGCATTATGTAGAGAACGATTAACGTAGAAGAGAAAAAATATGTATAAAGCCAGAATGGCCTTAGCGTGTATCACGTGGTCCGATTTAAGCGTATGTATGTAGATAACTCGAAAACGTCGAACAGAAAAATCATGCGATTGCCAGAAGGGCCTTAGCGTGTTTCTCGGATATTACTGGTCCGATTCAAACGGGAAAAACGGAATTCTACGTGAGACGTCGTAAAGTTACCATTCGCAAGTACACATGCACAGTGGCAATGCCAAAAGGACCTTAGCGTGTATCTCAGCTATTGTTGGTCCGAGTCAAACGGGAAAAACAGCATTATATAGAGAACATGGTATAGATTAATGATGAAGAGAAACAACATGCGCAGAACGAAAAGCCAGAATGACCTTTGAGTGTATCTTTATTGCTATTGGTCAGCCTCAAACGGAATAAAGGGCATTATATTATGTATAGAACGATTAACGTTGAAGAGAAAGATCATGCGCAGTGACAGGTTAAAATGGCGTAAAAATAATATCTTTGTTATTGTTGGTCCGATTCAAACGGGAAAAACGGCGTTATGTAGAGAACGATTAACGTCGAACAGAAAAATCATGCTCAGAACGAAAGTCAGAAGGGCCTAAAACTTATATTTTTATTTCTATTGGTCCGATTCGAACGGGGCAAACGGCATTCAGCGTGAACTGTCATCTAGCTGTAATTTCCAACGAAAGAATTGCCATCAAAGACAAAAGGGCATTAACGTATCGTTATTGATTTTTAACTTGAACTGTTATCTAGCTGAAATTATCATATCATTACTACCGGTATCCCACCATCTTTCATATTTCCGATTTTCATGATTTTTGAAAGGGAAATGACACGTGACATACTATTAATGAATTTGCCAATCGTTGTGCCTTATTGACACTTTTTGAATTAATGTCTCCAATTTCTGTGATTTTTGAGTATGTAATGTAATGCAACATGCTTATAATGAATCTGTCATTCAAACGTCATTTTAAAATTGATGACGAGCTAGAACTACGTGTGATACATCAAATGAAACGGTACAATGTGAGGATCACATATTTGCCATCATCTTCGACAAATGTTCTTTGTAACATCGATAAATCGTTGAGAAAGGGCTTAAAATGAATGAAAATCAAATAGGAATAATTATTTCATAATACTGGTGCTACATAGTTTCCAAATCCCAAAAAATCTATTCTTTATTCGCGATTTGAATGTCGAAGTGTAAAGTTGTGGTCAAAATTTTTCTTTTAGTTTAGTTGAGGATTTCAGGTAAAAGCTGTAATACTAACATTTCCTTTGTTAAATTAACCCTTCTCTTCCTTATAATTTAAATAAATTGTTTTCTCTTGGTTTTCTTTAATGTAATTAAATTAAAAAAAAAAAAGGAAAGTAAAAGGTAGATAGAAAACGGTAGGGAGAAAACGAGGTTAAAAAAAATGTAACAAATTCTGATAAAAAACATCTAAATAGAGATAATTATACATACCTAGATAAAGGCCCATATGAAGTATACATTGAAGCTACTCTTGATAATAAAAATATAGGCAATTATAATTATCTAGCTATTGCTCGCGAACTTTATGACCTTCAGGTAAATAATATTAAAAATATGATGTGTCCAACAACACATGACTTTCCTTTCCTCTTATTATAGGCTTTTTCCGGTTATTTTGTACAACCTATTCTAGCACCTCTATAAATGTTTAGAGAATAAACTAAATATATACTTTGTAACGGTTGGAACCGTTTTCGTTATTTAGACCCAAACATTGTATAGTATGGACAGAAGCTGATGCTGCGTTTGTGAAAATTAAAAAGATGCTTACCACTAGCCCAATACTTGCAAGTCCAGATTATTCAAAACAATTTATTATTCAAACGGATGCTAGTGAAACCGGAATTGGTGCTATCTTATATCAAGAATGTTATGGTCTTGAACACCCAATTGCTTATGCTAGTCGTAGCTTAACGACTTGTGAAAGAAAATTATCCACTACTGAAAGAGAATTACTTGGATGTATTTTTGGAGTTGAAAAATTTCGGTGAACTAATTGTGATAGAAGACCAAGTAGCCAAAACTAAACTAGCAAAACATTACACGCCATGTCCAAAATGTAAAGGATTTTTACCAAAACAAACATTAGACATTACGCAAAACGGTGTTATAATTATTCCCGAGAACAGAATAAAACAGTTACTGTTATGGACAGAAAAATTGCGGGAAGAATTCATTAGGAGACAAGCAAAAACTTAAGGGAAAACATTTTTCCTATCCTAAGAAACGGTGAAGTAGTGAGAACTATAAGATACGATCGATTGATAATTTTATTTGAAAACGACCAATACCAAAAATATAGACACCAACATGAACTAATAGTATCAAATTTAAGACTCTTAGGTAAGCTGTTGGCACTGAAACATATCAATAAACAAGTTACAGATTTTGCCAGTCGATGTCAACCTAAATATTATGATGACGCCATTGCAGTCATTAATCAAATTACCTATTTTAATGAAACAAATAATACCTACAAAACATCCTAAAAGGCCTACAACATGGGTTCATTATTAAAAAAAAATAGGTGACTTATATTTGTCTGATCGAATTGGGCATGATGATGTAGAAATAAAAAAAAAAAAAGAAAATTTGTAAAAGCTTTTGGTGGAGTATATTTCAATAAGTGTAAATAAGAATGTGACTGAAACCCAAACGATGACAAAAAGAAAATAAAATTGTGACGCTTCAATCTAACGAAGACATTAAAAAATTACACAATTATTTAAAATTCAAACAAAAGTCTGCTTTCGATAATTTAATAATTGGTTTTATTAAACACGAGTGGACATCTTTGTTAAAAAGTACATTGATTATGGTTCAATTATTTAACAGGAGAGCTGGCGAAGTAGAGAGAATATTTATAAACGACTATGAGGCACACGAAAAAATAGACAAATATTTAATAGGTTTGAAAGAAGAAATAAACTAAAAGGTTATGTAAGATTTACTATTCGAGGAAAACTTAATAGAACTGTTTCAGTTCTACTGTCATCAAATATGGTGGATTCTATAAATACCTGTCACAGTATTTATTTAAGATCTATAAGTGTTATAACGTTTTCATGTATTTATCATTTTTTTGAAAATCATGGTGCCCAGCTCAAAAAAGGAGAAAATTTTTACAAAAGTGGCAATGTCATTAAATGTCTGTATGATTCTTCTTTTACACCGCCCGTTCTACAGGAAAATGTTATGGCCAGTGTTCAATTTACAATATTGAACCTTTATTAATAATATTTTTATATTTGTTGACAGTTCCTTGATGGTACTATTTTGTAATATTTGTATCGCTTAAAAATGCCTATGCCTTTATGACACACATTGTTACTTGTCAAAGTCATTCATCATGCCTCAGTTGGCATTCAACTACCGCCACTATTCCATCATTAGCTTTCTGTTAAGGAAGGTGGCCTCTTCAGGGAACCTTTCACCTTTTTAAAATTAGTGTAATTTAAAATATTAAGATCTACTGTGATATGTTACGATCTAATAGAAAGTGTACTGTTTAAATGGTTGAAATGAAGTAAATTAACTGAATTTGTGTTTTCTCTATCGAGTCCACACAGCGCAGGAAATACAATTGAGCCCTAAAAAAGGTTTTAGGGCCTCTTTAAGTTGTAATTATTACAGCCAGTATGAAGAAAAGAAAATATTTAGTGGAGGTTAGTTAATTTTTATAATAAATTTGATAAAAAAATACCTTAAAATATTATTTTTTAGGTGATATTGAGCACTGATGGTTCAATTACTACAATATCTTGCGAATGTCCAAGAGGACAAGAAAACTATCACCATATGGCAGCTTTTGTTCTTCATTGCCACTACAACATTAGCGTGACAAATAACTCTTTTTCTTGGGTAAAAAATCCTCTGATGAAGAAACAATTAAAAAAGTTATAGACGGGTGCCCACCAAAAAAGCTTTCACAGCTATGAAAAGAAAAGCAACAGAAGAAAAAATTGACAATTTTAAAAAGAGTTTGTCTGATTGTCCAGTAGGCTTTACATGGTTACTGAGAAAAGATGTATTTGTAGAAATTACAAAAATCATTCCAGCAATTGAGGATATTTTATTTTGTACGGAATATGTTGAAAGTATTGATAAAAATACCTATTTTATCGAAAATTCCAAATTAACGGAGGAACAAATTATGAAAATGAAAAGGGCTACTGTAGGTCAGTCAGCTAATGAAAATTGGTTAATTGCAAGAAAACATAGGCTTACTGCAAGTAAATTTGGAGCTGTCTTAAACTCAATTAAAAATAACAAATTTCCTCCAAACTTGTTTAAAATTCTTCTGAACTTTGAAAAAGTGTTGGCAGTGAAGTGGGGGAGAGAAAATGACATACTATACTTTCCTTATCTGTATACAGATAGAAAAGTAAAAACACGTTTTTGAGCTTTTTTCTTTTAGATTGTAAATGTTTTATTTTATTTTAAATAACTTATGGTTCCTTATTTAATTACTTTAAAAAAAAAAGAGCAATTCAAATACTTGATTGATATTTTTATTAAGCCGATACGCACTTTACCTACATATCGGCCGAAATGACCGACATCGGTTTCGGTCGATCCTTATTTTTTTTTTCTTGTTTTTATATCAAAAAGCATGTTTAAGCAACGTTTTTTTTTTTTTCAGAAAGCCAATAACATGTATTTGTGTTTTTTTATTTACATGATAGTTTTTATTAAACTTACTAATCCTCAACCAGCAGCTATTGGAGGAGCGGCCGGACCGCCACCGGGAAGACGTTTCCAGTTACAATGCAGTGATCAGTTTGCTTATGCAGATGCAAGTGATCCAAATTTTTTAATGAAATTTGAGCAAAATACTCCACCAGGGTACCATGTGTTATCCGTTGATCCCCGGCTATATTCCCTGGCAAAAATGCCCAGATATATTGTCAAATATCGTTGTCAAAACTTTCGTAGATGTGAAGATATTAAACGAGTATTTCATGACGTGAACACCTACAAGCCACAAAACTGTAATGCGGGATCAATCGAAGTGATTTCACGGGGTTATATGGTCGAATATAAACAATTCTGCATGTGCTATCGACGTGCATATCTAGTTTTAATCTTTTGATGAAATTGTTCTTTTTATATCTTTGTCTATACTATCTTTTGCTCTTGCCGTGTACCAATTGGATTATATATGTAGTGTACTAAAATAAAATAATTAAAATGACTATAAAATAGGTTTATCGACTAATTCCGTGAACAGTGTTTAATATTTTTCGTATTAAGTTACAATGTTTTTTATTTCAGAAAATGATTATGATACTGGAGATTATTTTTATTTCTTGTTTTATCATATATGGCGTTAAAGGAATAGATTGTCTTCCATGTATTGTAAACGTTGCTGAGCAAGAGCCCGAAACATTATATTAGGTTTAACTCCTCGAGGATGCATACTTGTTGATCTTCGTCTTTGGGTTATACCACCGGAAGAAATCCTCACAGGTGGATTGGTATGACAATCACTATGCCTGTAAGTGTGACTTTATCTTTGCACTAAAGAGGGCATTCAAAAGAAACTATCCTACCAGACGTGAAATTAGTGGGGTTGGTTTAGAGAGGTCACTTAAAACAAAACAAAATCGGTAAAGAAGTTTCCAAAAACAAATACGTGATTTGTCCACATTGCAAAGCTTTTATTTTAAACGTCTTTGCTTCAGCCGACATGTAAAAAAAAATAATTAGCCAAACCAACATCTAACAACACGCACGAAGGACCGCTTGTTAAATCTCTAATGTACTCAGCTTGTAACAAAAATTATGGGGAAACTTTTAACAAATTGGCTGTAAAAACGGAAATTTTCAGTAAAATGCAAGGTGATGATGTAATTGCAGCAATGCTAGATGACATCATTTTTATTTACTTTGGGGAAGATTTATTTAGAAAAACTAAGAATAAACGCAGTCGGTATCATATTTGAAATAAATTTCGCCGATGTGGTAAATTCCTAATTCAAATAAGACAACTAGGCTCCTACAGTGACATACTTTCACTTTTAAAATTTGAAAACTTTGATGTAATTGAAGCCACTAAAAAAAAGTCACGTTATGACGTTGAAAACAGGAGTTTTGGAGCTGCTTCTTTAGCATTACATTTTGGCACATCATTAAAAAAATTAACAGATTTGACTGTTAAATTGGTTTTAAGAAAAAAGTACCTTTATCAGTTTCATATGTTAACCAAACTATAATAGATTTAGAATGTTTCAAAACTGTAGTTGAATCACAGTGGAGTACAGAATTGGGAAGCTTGGCATTAAAGGACTTGAACGAGAGAAATGCGATAAAACCTAAACTTACTTAGGATATTATTAAAATGAAAACCTAAGTATCCAAAACAAAGATATCATATAAAGATATCAATAAATCAGACCAAAATGATTACTTTTCTTTCAGAAACCATTCTTATCCACAAAAATATTTTAAAATGATACATAATATTCGTTGTGAAACTTCGTGGTTCTCTTTGAATAATGTCATTCGACAAGGAAAACCATAGGGCAACAATAGAAATACCGCCCAGAACATCGGCATTGTCCAACTGCTAGCAAAAGGACAATCGAATGTATTTTTATTATTTGTATTTCTAGATAAATGTATATTATAGTTAATAAAAGATTTTAAAACGAAAACGAATGTATAAACTGGTTAGCAAGAAGAAGTTTGCTTCGTAACGATGCATTTTGCCAAGGCTGTCATACCCATGTCGCTCATATAAAAAGTAAATTCCACAGACGGGTACCTGTGGAAATGCAAAGAGTGCGAGTTTTTGAACTCACCGATTCGTTTATTTTAGTTTTTATTAGTTAAAATAAAAATGGATGGTAGAGATCGTCCAGCGCCCATTTTTATTGTACCTCACAATGATATTCTAGACAATGGTCTGATTGAAGACGAACTAGTGTCGATTATAGACATGTGCTTTAGAAGTGTTTTTGAATGTATGACCTGGTTAGCAAGAAGAAGTTTGCTTCGTAACGATACATTTTGCCAGGGCTGTCAAATACCCATGTCCCTAATACAAAAATCAAATTCCAAAGACGGGTACCTGTGGAAGTGCAAAGAGTGCGAGTTGGAACAGTCAATCAGGCCTATGAGTGAACACCACGGTTATTATAACTGAGGCCGGTTAAGTTATGATAACTAGGCATGGATAACTGTCTTGAAAACAGAAATTGAAATATTGGTATGACTGATCAAGTATTTAACCGTGCCCGTTATCTATGCAGTTATGAAAAGAAATAAGTTTTGTCTTTATTCTTAACAGAGTGTGTGACGAAGTCACTAAAAATGTCCCTAAATTAATTTCTAAAACTAATTTCCCTCTATGAACATTTGCAAAACCCCCTGTAACTAATATTTCCATAGAATTACCGTTTTTAAACATTTGCAAGAGCCCTCGTACCGTACCGCCTCTGGATCCTCTTGATCAACAGCTTATACCCGAAGGTCAGATCCAGAGGCTGGCTAAGTTACAGGAATGTTATGAGTTGGCAAGGCTCAGTTTGTCGCGAGCGTTCACCTCCCAGAGCAAGTATTATAACCTCCGTCGTAGGGACTGGAGGTGTACCATTGGTGACTTAGTTATGAAGCGTGGGCATACCCTGTCTTTCGCCGCCAATCATATAGCGGCGAAACTTGCCCCTAAGTTTTCTGGTCCCTACACCGTCACTAAAGTAATTTCACCCGTTATTAACAACCTGAGGGATGCCGCGGGTAAGCGAATCAACAATGTTCATATCAAGGACCTAAAACCCGCATCGGAGCGCGTTGAATAATCGTTTTTTTTTTTTAAGTTGGCCAGAGAACAACCTTCCGTGTCCGTTAGGACGTTAACGCTGAAATCCGTTTAGGCACTCATTCCCGTTTCCGTGATTGCTTCCATTCCCATTCCTGATTCCCGTCTTCCGTAGAAACCCGTCTCAAACGACTCGATTAATGGCTTGTATTGTTCTAGCCGAGAGATAGAAGAATTTCCCCGTCTAATTCCCTTGTCCCGACGCACCAGACCTTGTCCCCGTCGTGCCCCGCCCGTTTCTCCCTCGTCCGTCCCCAACATCGACCTTACCACTTCCCCGTTGTGTCCTGACCACCCGTCTCCCCTTCGTAAGAAGGTGAAGGTAACCCTAATATCCTCTCACGGCCTTATCCCTGTACCCATTTCATTGGGTCCGTATCCTACAACCCTCCACCTCGTTCTGAAATCCCCGCCGTTCTTCCCGTTGGGCATGTCACCCCCTTGCAGCCTTCCCCGGTGCTCCAACGCCCAGCCTCCTGTCCCCCTGGTCTTTCCCGACCCCAACCCGCCGGGATCCCGGCCTTCCCGATGTGGCCGCCTGACTTTCCTTCGCTGCCTCCCAAGGCGTTTGGGGTTATACCTCTAGCCCCCGTTTCTTTCCTGGACCGACACTCGTCCCTGTCTGCCGTGATCAAGCGCCGACTGGCGGACTTCAAGCTGACCCACGTACCCGGGACTAGCTACCCTCCGGAATTAATCCGCCAGGCCTAATCGTTAAGGCCTGAGTATGTGCCACCGGATCGCCGGTGTCACCTCCGCTTCCTAGACCGTGGCCGGCTTTATACCGTACTTCTGCCCCGTCTTTGAAAAAGATGTCGATCCGCAAGCTGGGGGAGAATTACTACATCCATCGGGAGACACTATTAGAGGAAGAATTGCTTTCCTTGTTAGGAAAAATTCATATAGGAGACCCTGAAATTCCAGAGTCTTTCTGTGCAAGAGGTATCTATAAACAAATATTTTAAAACAACTGTACCCTCAAATTCTGTTTTAGCTCAAACCAATGCCTCTGCTGCAGTTCAAAGCAGTGCCGCTACCTTCGAAAGAACCACTGACCAAACTAGTGGGATAGCAGAGGAGACTATAGGTAGGTTTTTATAATTGAAAATTAATATATACTTTTAGAAATAACTTGCCTTAAAAAATATAAACATTTATTTAAATTTGTGGTTAGAGATGATCTTAATAAATCAGCTATACAATTATTCAATGCAGTGTATATAATGTTATAAATACAATATATTTTTGTTTTTAGATGTAATATATGGATATGATGACCAAAATAAACTTGAAAGTGGTATTGAAACAAATGAAAGTAAGTATTGTAGCCGGGATATAATTACAAAAAATAACTAATTAAATCATTTGTAGATGAAATACAGATGGTAGAAGTTTTAAATGAAGTAAAGGCTACGAAAATAGTAAAAATAGAGCAACCTACACAAAAAAAAAGTCTGGTGGAACAACTAAAAGTGAGATTTTTATACATACATTATATTTAATTTCTAATAATTTGAATTTTAGCAAGAAACATTTTGCTAGAAGCTGCAAAAAGCTACGAGAATGCACGGCAAATATCTGTTGAGGCTGCTCAAGTAAGAACTGGAGCATTACAAAGTATTGCTGAAGCGATTAACAATAACACTGCTGTAAATAAGGCCCAATTAAAATTGGAATATGTACATTTTGGACTTTTCCACGTCGCACATCAGGAGTACATCGAACTATAAAAGACGATTAAACATCACTGGGAGTACAACAAAATTAAATCATATGCGAAGTGGCAAGAAAATATATTCTTATAAAGAGAAAAATTTAGTTACAATTTTAATTGAAGTTTGAAAAACAGAAAGCAATAATTCTTTAAATTATCTACTTTGAATCTGTAGTGTATGTATAAGTTCGCTAGATACGCCACTGGCAGATTTCTTGTAATGCCGATAGGTGGTGGTGGAAGTATCTAGCGAGCGAAAATTAGCATTGTATTTGGAGGTTTAAGAATGAATAAATGTGTTTTGGTTAAGTGGTATACCGGCTTATTATTGTAACCCTTAAGTAATGGGGTTAACATCCCCAATACATCACAGTGGCGACGGGTTGTGTGTTTAAGGAAATTTGATCAATTTCCAAGTG